CCAATACTATACTTCCAACTACTCACAAGCGACCAATCCTCGTCGAACTTGGATTGTCCTTGATAGTTGTTTATTTTTAGTCAAAAACATTCTGTCCCTTTTCCCTCTAAATGCACTAGACATTTGGAAATTTTAGAATGGTCAAACATTAAAGCATTTTGCAATCGATCCTATACCCGAAGCGATGGACATGAGCACAATGTTTTATTTGCTATGTTCTCAAAATTCGAATTGCGAAGAGGAATGCCGTAATCACATCGAATTTTAAGAACACACTATGTACCTTTGACTAAATTTATCAACATTTCGCAACCTAATCCTTTAAGATTTGAATGAAGCATAATATTCTCTCCCTTAATTATAGCAAAACAACCTTTACAACTCTTAACTTTGCAAAGTATGACTCTTGTTTTCATAATTAATATGCCAACTAGCAATACGTGCCTTAAAATCATACAATCATAACATTTATGCTCCCACTATCATGATGATTATTATAAAACTAACACTTATGCTCCACTAGCTTCGACATGTATTCATAAACATCTTAACTTTTCAGAAAACAATACTTATTGAATTTCTTAAGTTCATGTTTCTAATACTTAGTGCTTTGATAATCTTTTATCAAGGCTTCTTGAACTTATACACTTTTGCCTTAGATAGTTCATATGTGTGTCTTAACAATTAAGACTAATTGCCAAACCTCACAATTCAAATTATGGAAAGGGATGCGTACCATGATCGAATTGAGAATGCAATTTTACAATCACTATCTTTTAAAATCTTTCTTAGTGAAAGCATTTTCCTCACAATCATTTTCATGAAGGAGGAAATCTTATGACACTTAGATTTAAATGGTGTATGTGTTCCTATCCATGTGAATTTGTTAAAACCAGTTTACGACAAATTCAAACATATGGATCGAACTCTTTTAATCTTGATTTCTTGCCTTATGGTAGCACAGCTGCCCACCACGTCTTCCAAGTAGTTAAGCAGCTCACCTTTCCTATCAATGTACCTTTCATTGATCAAGGTCCTTGCCTTTTATGCATTCAAATGAGAACTCATAGGACTCACAGCATAATTAACTCGATTGATTGGCATAGAAACAAAAAATAATTTTCACGATAGGTTGTAAACCTCAACTCGGTGCTAGTGATGATCAATAAGGTTTATTTGATTTGTTCTTGAAACTTTCAAGACCATTAAGACTCCACTGACTCTCTCTTGACATATAAGATTCTTTGTCAATAAAACATTTCTGACACAAATTTTCAAGAGTTAGTGTAGCTTGTATCAAAACACTTCATAAGTCATAGTTGGTCTTTGTCTTATCCAAGACATCACAACTTTCCACATTTGATGAATGTTATAAACCTTTAATACTTTTTACTCATTGTCACAATCTTGTTATTGGAAAAAGTATGATTGTCTTCTTGATTTGACCATTTCATCAATCTTTGATTCCTCTTCTTGGACATACAATTGTACCAAGACTCACTTAGAGGATCAATTGAGATATGGTTCTTAATCATTAAGACCTATCATAAAGCATAAAAGCCACTCTCCCTTCTTCTTAGAATGGAGAAACTCTTATCTTTCTGCCTTTTGATTCTTCTTATTCGTTTTGCTATTGATCTAAACCCTTTAATCAATTCAAAATTACACTTAATCTTGTAAGTATAATCATATTTACTAACCTTTAGTAAATGATGACGAATATCTTTGTTACTCTTATGGTGAACTTGATCAACAACAACTTTGTGTACTCGATCTCCTAGTCCTTCACTTGACACTTTGTCAACGAATTAGTCTAATTATCAAATATGAAATTTCTCATTCATCATGCAACCAAGTTGCATGATTCCAAGTTTCTGTCCAATTGAAACTTGGGCGATGAGAAACTCTCCCTATTTGGTAAATTCTTGACTTTCCATAACACAATAAGAAACAAATCCATTATTGCTAATAATTAACATCAATTTTTCATACACGCCATTGTAAGGATAAATAAAAAAATTTAAAATCAAAATTTATTTTATTGCGGAAAAATTTGTCCTTCACAATGAACTCATTGAAAAACTTATGCGAATACATCTTTCTTAGCAATCTAATTCTAACTCTAAGTAGTAGCTCAAGAATCTAATCTTCGAGAAACGCAATCGAAATCCATTCCTTCACGGTTAGATTCTGCTCACTTCTTCCTTAAGCTTCTTTTCTTTTCTTTGATCCTTCTAAACATCAATTGTAATCTTATCACATTATGTATTCAGAACCTAGAATGAAGCTTAAAAGAGTTAGTCAATGGATTTTACCTAAATTAGAGCCATACGTTTCGACTCTCCCATCTCTTAGATCTCTTAGGTAAATAGGGCAGCTTCGTCTCCAATGCCCTTCTCTTGGCAATAAAAGCAAATTGACTCTTTTTGGAACAAACATGGAACTACTTCAGACATCGCCTTTCTCTTATGATCAAACTTTTCGATCATTGCATGTCTTTCATTGCCATTGTCTATATCCACAGAGGTCTCGAAGGCAGATTCACCAATCAACTTTGCTTTTCTATTGCGCCAAACCATTGCTGATTCAGCAGCAATAAGCATATAGGTGAGATCTATAAGGGTCACGTCGCGGTTCATCATATAGTAC